AAAATGCATTTTTCTCATCTGGAGTCTATCCAGTAAAGTCATGGGAAGAAGGGACTTCTAGGAAATGTGGGTACAATTTCCTGAAGTTGTGGGGGTTTTTTTGTTCCTCTGTACTAAACAACGTGAATCATACTCTTCTCAGATTATTAACATCATGTTAAGAGAACTGTAATAGGTGATGGTGGTGTTAGCACATGCCTTTTAACAAACAGCCTTGGTTATAGGGAGGACAGCATTAACACTGTAAGAAAGAATGTCCATTCATAATCACACACAAAAAAATGCCCAATAACCTGCAAACCCTTTTCATGGTTAATGCTTGTAGCTGGATAGAGTTGAAGTGAATAATAACTAATATGGGAACCTAAGTAATCAAGTTGAGTGTGGAGGCAATAACCAGGGCTTGAAAATTGTAAATAGAAATATTTTCAGCATCCTGAAAATAAGGTACCCTTGGATATCGTGAGCACAATTCAAAATTCTTGACCTCCTCTGGAAATCTCAATCTGAGAGTGTAACCCTTGATGGGTCAGTTGCTCACTGAAGATGAAGGCAAAACATGCTGTTTAGTCTAGTCATAAACTGGCTTTAGAGAAACATAAGAAAAGTTTTTTTTTTTCTGAAGGAGAAATCATTTCTGGAAAGGTCACACATGCAAACTTTGGAATATGTCCATCCACTCTCATCCCCTTTTAAGATTCAGATGAGCAATGATGTGCAAGTACTGATTGGCACCAGGGAATGCGGCCCAGGTAGAGATCTGCTCCCTTTAGCAAATCTATCCCTGCTTAACCTCCCCAGGGAAGTGTGGAACTCCAAAAGTGAGGTGCTACAGCCCCATCGGCAGTACACAAAACAAAATAGATTTCTTATGTTAGTGCTTATGATGTGGCACTGCTATTAATCTAATGTATGACTCTGTTATCTCACTATTTTGGGAGGAAAGCCAAAATAGATTACATGTCACTTGCATATACACGCTCTCCAAAACTATGAAAAAATTGTTAAACTTCACCACAGGTCACATATTGGGTCATTGAGATAAGTCCTGGCTGGAAGGAAAGCTGAATCCGTAACTCTCCATCACATCATGCAAAGGTGAAATCAACAGGTTCATCTTCACTTCATATAATGTGAGTTTCCACTAAGTTTAAAGAAACTCAGAAAAACTGATGGATCATATAAAAATTGCTTTCAGTGTGTAAATTAAAGTCAAGATATTAGGTAAATTGCAGAAATCTAGAGAGAACTCCTAATTTCCATCTTCATGTTCAATCCCTCATTTTGTACTTTGCAGAATCATAGTGCTAGAAGCCATATGAAGAAGTGACCTAATCTATCCTCCTCTGGGATAGTATCATTATATATCTAACTTTTACAGATATCCATGTAGTGCCTTTTTCTAATAATTCTAATAATTCTAAATAATTTTTAGTAATAGGAATTCTTCAATTTGGGGATTCTCCAATTCTTGGCACTTCTGGTGCTTCACTGTTCTAACCTGTAGAGGAGTCTTCCAGCTACAGATTGAGACATGAACAGCTGTCTGCATGTAGGTGTCTTCATGTCAGGTGTTATTTCAGGAAGTATTTTGTCGAAGATTTCACCACAGGCAGTGGAACCTGGCAAGGCATTTGTTGCACTCTCAAGTAGGTGTCTACCATAGCAGAAGCCAGGCCTGGAGTGTCCATGGAGCTCAGCACATGGGTTACTTAGAGATGTCTAAATTTAGATGGCTGAAGCTGAAACCCACCCAAGACATTTAACTTAAATCTCCCTTGCTGCAATTTAAAACTGTTAAAGTCCTTTTTGCAGTCAGCTTGGAGAACAGATTACTCTTTTTTTTGTCTCATACTTACCTTCTATGTATTATTTTCTTCTGTAGACTGATCAACTACATTTTCTCACAAGTCATGTTTTCAGACCTTTAATGACTCAGTGATCACTTCTGTGTTGTCTCCAGGCAGTCCATCACTTGCTTCAAGCAGTATGCTTAGTTCAGTACTCATCTGAATGACAACTTCAACTAGAATGAAAGAATCATTTTAAAAGTTACAAACTAGATTCCTGTTTAAACCTCTAAGTAGGATGTTGGTCTCTCTTCTGCCGTAACATGCTTGTTAACTACAGTAAGCTTGGAGTTATTATCTGCTATAATTCTGCTCCTCTGAACTGCTGTGTAACTAGTCATTACCATCCTGCAGTTGTGCAACTGATTATTCCTACACTTCGCAGGATTTAATTTAATTTCTTTATACATTTTTCCTTGTTATCTCATTTACTGTAAGCCTGTATTTTTTTTCTTTCAGACAAGCAAAAGCCATGTACTCCTGTAAGGCTGAGCATAGTCATGAACTGTCTTTCCCACAGGGGGCAATATTTTCCAATGGTAAGATATGTTTTACGTTGTCTCTTTATGTAAAAAAAAAAAAAAAATTATATAAAAAACTGAATTGTATCCAGAAAATGAGAGCATATTTCCATTTTCAGGTCTCAGTTTTTACCCTGATTTTGCAATTGTTCTTGAATAAATACTGTCTAAATAGATATATGAACCACGTATAGGATCTTTTAACAGTGTTAATTAATTGTAAACATTTTGGGGGGGGGTCTGGCTGTTTTTTTGCAGTGTATCCATCAGTGGAACCAGGCTGGTTAAAAGCAACTTATGAAGGCAAAACGGGACTCGTTCCTGAGAATTATGTTGTCTTCCTGTAGTAATCTTTAGTGGACAGCAATATCTTCATGGTATCCATGGTAACAAATAATAAGCACTATGATTTTTATCTGACACAGATATGGGATCAGCCCGTTAGCTGAGTGGTAGATTTCCTTCAGATACTGCAGCTGCAGGTTACATAGCTCCCTATCAACAGAACAGAATGTAATGAAACAGTTAACAGTTTCTGTCCTGAAGACGGTACTCTGTTTAAATAACTTCCATTGTTTGCAAAAGGTTGTTCTGTTCTTCTTTTATGGGTGAGGAACACTAGAGCAATAAAATCAAAAAAGTTGCTATTTAGCTGCAGACTTTCAGGTCCTAGATGTTGGTCACAGAAGCGTGAAATTTAGAGGCAATGCACTTGATGACATTTCTTGCAATCTATGTTTTTTAAGATGGAAAATTGTATTTTTTTCATAATGCAAGTAATGCTTCTATTGTGATCTGAATTCTCCCTTAGAAAACTTGATTCTACAATTAGTCCTAATCATTTCAAATAAGAAATGAGTTTTCTATAAATCAGAAGTTTGAACTTGTATTAGTCATTGAGATTACAATATGGTATAGAATTTATGCAACTGATAATAAAATCAGTTTATAGTGCCTGAGCAGTAAGTGCTCATTGAAAATGTGATATGTTTAATGAATGTTTCATTCAAATACTTCTTAGATTTATTTCCTTCTTTCTGTATCAGTATAGATAATATTAACAACGTTTATTTCTATGATACCCGTCATCTGGAAGATAGTGTATCTCAGAACGACATCTGTAGAAAACAAGCAGATGCTGAATCTGGAATGATTGGTAGTCATGTGAAGCAAGCAGTGAAAAACAGCAGTATGTTTTGAAACCTGAGATAAATTGTAACTGAGTCCTTTTCCAACTTTTTCCGTTGCAAATAAGACAAATGGCCTGTGAGGTAGCTAATTTTATAAGCTATGAATGCTGAAAGCTCCATGTAGCAATAAAAGTATTTAGTAGCATTTCTCCTGACTCCTGCTAAACTATTTGACAAAGATTTCTCCCCTTCCACAGAATAAAAAAGCCTTACTTTTCAAAGGTTTTGTAAAGACCCATTGATTGCTCCTGGCAGGACTGAAAAAAAAACAACCCCAAAACTCAAAAAAAAAAACCCACAGAAACCCAAAACTATAAGCAGCTTTCTCAATCTGAGCATCTTTCTTGCACACCTTGAGGGAAAACATGCAGTGCTTGCTTGGCTACTTACCATGCCCAACTGAAAACCAAGATATTTAAGCTCCATATTAGTAATTCTTCAGCATTAGTGCTACAGAAAGAATTCACTGTTTCATGGACGTATCATAGACCTATCAAGGCTTAGTTCATTCTTCTGTAACAAAAATCAATATGTAAATCTTCCATTGATTTCTAAGTTGTGCACTACTTCCAGAAAGCTTAAAGAAGAACTTCTGTTAGGACTAAAAAACATCAGAAATCTTTCAATTGCTTCTTTTTTCTTTCCACTGCCTTTTTCTTGTTTAAATTAGAAAATAAGATTTATTGCCAACATAAAGCAGCACATCAGAACTAAAGTACCAAGTCGTGATCAGGGAAGGAGAGAGACTGGAAGAGCAGTCTCCCAAAAATAGTCTAGCTTTTCAGAGAGGGAGTCTGGGTAAGACTGACTGCAGGCCATTGAGGACAGACCCCTTGAATTAATGACTGAGTGGTCTAGGTTCTTTCTTCACTCTAAAATTTCATTAAGTCCCAAATGATGTTTCACTTCACCTTAAGACCAGACTGTGTTTGGTGCATTTTGATGAAGGGTTGTTCCACACACTGTCTCAGGCAGCGAAGGCAGACCCGCATGTGCTCATCTAATTTGCCCACAGCAGATATGAAAGGAAGTGAAGAAAACATCTTTTCACACCAGATTGAGCCTTTCTTAGTTTTAAGGCAAGCCAAGTTTTCTTAGTGCAAGCTATGCCTGAAACTGCCATTACCCTGAGAAGACCAACATGGGTTTGGTTGTGTTTTTGTTGTATTTCAAGTTCCAAAAGTTGCAGGCTGTCAAAAGGCTTACCTCTGGTGACCTTCCCAGAAGTGCTGCTGCAGGAAAAAAAGGAGCAGAAAGGGAGGCAGATCCTTGGGCAGAGGCTGGAGGCCCAGTACATCTCTCACCCAGGCAGAGAAATGCAGCAGTCTGGGGAAAAAAAACAGCTTCTTCTATCTATTACACTGGGGTCAGTGGCAAACTGACCTGTGTTGAACATCCTTTGATGACCTCTTATACCTCTTGGAAGCAATTTAATTGCTGTGAAATTCTTGGGGAATGGTGAAATAGAAAATGCTTTCTCTTACTTCCTTTGCTTTAGCCTGATGTAAAAAGAGGAGGGGGAAGAAGCTAACCTGAGGTAATCTCAGAGCCTGTGTATATGTCTGGCTGTTCTCCAATATTATGTTTTGAAATCAGCTGATCTCAGTGCAAGCTAGAGGACTCAAAGATGCCAAGTTCGTTAAAAATTTTGTAAAAATGCAAAGTTACAGATTAAGTAAGTAGAGCCTGTAAGTGCTGAGGGAAAGGTTATAGAAAGACCTGGAGGAATCCTTGTGGAGGAGATGTGTTTTGATGTTCCCCTGTATTCATCTCACATTAGACACAAAATTGAACTGCAGAAGACAACTTCATAAGAAACTGGATCCCATTCATTCTGCTGCTCACAGAACAAATCTGTATTTTCCTCTGTAAGACCCTGCACTTTTTCAGGCCTTTCTTCTGAACCAACCATGATGATCACATAAATAATTTTAAAGTAACTTAGCTTGAAAATGGCATTTCCATCTGAAAATAGTTATGCCCATTCTTAATTACAGTTAACCAATCTCAATGAGTAGCATTTGGGGTTTTTTTTGAAATATTTTATGGTTTTTCTTTTCTTCCCTTCTGCGGTACATAACAGGCACTTTCTGTGTAATCTCACTGCTGGGTTGTGGATAACCCAGCTCTTCCCTGACTTTCCAAGAGGGAGTTTATCTCTACAAGAAGCTGTACAATGAACTGGAGAGTTAAGTAACCAGGTGTTCAAAGACTGAAATGAGGGAGAGGGCAGCACCAAAGCTTGTCTAATGATGATCCTCTCAGGCCTGACCAAAAATCCCTTCTGATAATTGCAAAGGAGCAGAAATCCATGTAACATTTAAATGAAGATACAATATCTTGATAGTGCCTTACTAGAAAATCAAGCAAGCTGAACTAAATTAGTTCATAGTATTGATTTACTGGGGGTTTTTTTATGAAAGTCAAATTCAGTCTACAAGCAAAGGTTGTGCAATTTTTTCATTATAAATTTTATTATCCTTCCTAAAAGGATGCAGCAGGTTTTTTTCCAAATATCACTATAGAACTCGAAGTAGATGACACATTGTGATTGCCGTTTGTCTTGTGGAAATAATGTCTGTACCCACAACTTATGTAGTTAGCCATGTTTTTAATTTGTTAAACCTTTGATACATGTTGCAGCACAACATGAATCATATTAATAGTGTGAAGGACTGAGATATTGTATGATAAATATGTAAAGTATATTAATATTTTATATTCACACTTTTATTAATGATGATAAAGATGAAAAATTATTTTTGGTGTAATTCCTATGAGTTCAGTATTAAAATGTCCTTGCCATATTTTGGCGTTTGGAGTTATATGTAACAAAACTCTTAAATTAAACCATAGCTATCACTTAGGTCCCTAACTAATCTGTAAAGTTCATTGTTCAATTATTTCTGGAAAAAAAAATGCACAGATTTGCTGACCAGCGCTATTCTATGATAGTAATAGTAACTTATTTTCCTTTTATATATTTTCTGATGCTAATCTCTATTCTTTGCCTGTAATTGGATTGAATTGTAATGTGCCTTTAGGAAAGACAGGAGAGGAAAAGTTGCAAAATACAGCAGTTCAGGACACTAATTACAACAACAAAAAGTAATGGCAGTAATTGGATTTTTTTTTGTCATTACATTTCTCCACTGGTCTATTTTCTACATAGTAAGATTGCATCAGAATAAATAATGAAACTGAAAAGCATATTGTTCTCCATACTGCCTTTCCTAAGGCAGCAGCTTGTGCAATTTTGGATTGAGCAGCAAGAAGAGAAATCCCAGTAGGGGAGCACATCCTCATAACTGGGGTGGATCTTCTCCACCGGTGGAAACTCTCAAAGCTCTAGTGAAGTCAAAGACAGACTTTTGGCCATTTATAGTGAGGGTTTGCTGGCCAGAAGCCCCCAGAAACTAAATGAAATATTTTCTTAATGGAGTAGTATGTGATACGGCTTGGCGCTATCCTTTCTTTCAGCAGGGTGCCCTATAGGAATCATTCAATCACCAGAGATCAAGCTATAGGCAGTGTTTGATCTCGCTGTTTGTGGCCACACAGCCCTGACAGCTGCTGCTGCCGCCGCGGCCCTTCCAGTTACTGCTCACGCTGAAGTCAGACTGCTGTTCTGGTTGCAGTACAAGTTGGGAGGTCTTTTTTGGGGGGTAAGATTTTGCATGGGCTTTGGGAGTTTGCTTTGTTTTGTTTTAATCAGGTGCTTGGTATCCAAACAGCTGCTAATTCAACGTTGTAATTCAGTCCCTGAAGATCATAGCCTTGTTTTTCTTGTCCTGTACGTGGCAGTATTTAATAAGCCATTGGATTATCCTTGTTAAGTATAGAGAATGGTGCTTCAGTCCTTGGATGTCTCTGCTGAAAGCTGTTCTGCATCTGAGCTTTTTGCAAGTGTTTTGTTGGAAATTGTCACTAAAGTTCTGGCACTAAAGATAGCACCATGACCTCAGCACTACAAGAGTTTCTGTGATAGCAAAGGGCAAAGCAGCTGAACAGGGCACATGGATAGTTTCAATTTTCAATCGTATTTATGACAATTTTGGAGGTATTAGAGTTTATAGGGGTTACTTTAGATACTATATGGTATTTTAATAGGAAAGTATATACAATCAATAACTATATGTATATTTAATAAAGTCCTACTAAATTATCTTATTGAACTCTCTGTTTATTTTGTAGTGTGGTTTCAATAATTATCTGCACTCTGTATATATCTACATGTAAATAACTGGCATGACATGCGTAAGCTGACTTGCAGACATAATTGTATGTTGTACTTTACACTGTATTTCAAAAATTTGAAAAAAAGTTTTTCAAAATAAAAAGCCTTTCTGCACAAACTGGTTTCTTTATTATTTGGGCTCTGGTTCAGCCTTTTCTTTTTTCTAAGTGATTTAACACTTTTGTGCTACTGCCACGCGTACCTGCAATTTTGAGTGATGTTTTACCCATGAGGATGCTTTATGTAGAGGACATTGCTCCGGACATTGAGCAATGGGGTTGTGCCTGAATACTAGACAATAGTATGTCATCTGCTGTCCTGGTCACGTGGAAGTCGCCAAAGATGTGGCTTTTGAGGAAAAGTAAATGACAACGTTGGATGTTGCGTAACAAGAAGCGCAGCCCTGGTCTATCAAAACAC